CATTTATCTGGCAGGATACAGTTGTATGTGTTACAGAATTTGAAAATGAATGGTGGATTAGGTATGCCTGATTTTGGACATTATTATCACAAATGCTGCACAAGCACTAAATGTAATATGGATAATAACTCACCACTGTGTCTTTTTATTGAATGGGATAAGTTGCTTCCTTACTCGATCAAGGAAATATTGTGGCTGCCGCATAAGCTACGCCCAAGAATTAGGGAAATGCTCCCCACCACCAAAACACATCTCTAATAAAACAGGTATCTCTAGATAATTGGCTACACATTACTTTAAATTTAAAAGGCAAAACTCAGTGCTCAGCCCATCTGGAGAACCATTATAAAGTTCTACACAGGTGGTACATGACACCGTCCCATCTCTAGAAAATGTACTCAACTCCGTCAGATCTCTGTTGGCGTGGTTGCGGACACATAGGCACTTACTCTCATATGTGGTGGCAATATCCACGTATTCAGATATTTTAGAAACGTGTACATGTTGTAGTTAAAGATATTGTTACCGCCGTTGAGAATTTATCACGAGAATTGTGTCTATTCAAGAAAATTCCTGAAGATTTAACTAAAGTTAATAGTATACTAGTAGGCCATGTTTTAATGGCTACAATGGTTGTACCTAGATATTGGAAATTGACTACGATTCCAGTTTTAAGTTTTATGCCTGGTTCTGGAACATAAAAGTTGAATCTTTGTTTACCATTACGATTCGGTTTACTCTCAGTCTGGTGCAGTACCTCACAGTGCCACTACCTTTCTGTGGTGCTATTGCAGGCTGCTGCACTCAGAGTGAGATCGCTCTCTGTTCCCAGCTGGCCTTACTTTGTAATTATCTTCTCTCTATTTAGCCGAGCATCACCCCTTCTTTTTTTTTTTTTGACAGTACATTAATGTTAATGTTGTTGGTCTGGTTGTTTTGTCCTGGGTTCCTGTGGTTGCTGCTGCCTGTCCTGGGTTCTTGTGGTAGCTGCCTGCCTGTCTTGTATTCCTGAGCTGGCTCACTGTATCAAGAGGCCCTGATTCCCTTTATCCAGTGCAAACTGTTGTGTTTTTCAATATTTCGATACACCTTGTTCGTACCAGTACATTGTTATTATAATGATGCTACTGCCAATCCCATAAGGGGTGGATGTTTTCCCCTATTATTATTATTATTATTAATATTATTTATTTTATTGATATTTATTTTTACATTTTGTTATTTTAATTTTTTTCTTAATGAGTGATCCTTCATTTATGTTATCTTGATAAATGTTGATTAATATTGTTTCCTTTGTTAGAATTGCAAAACTACTTAATAAAAAACATTTGATAAAAAAAATTAAACTGCCCATCAGAAGTCTACTTTCTTCTAATGCTTTAGCCCACAAAAAGCCCAAATAAAATCCATAATCCCCAATGCTACTAATTAACATTAAAAAAAGTTTTGCAATATGGCCAAGAACTCTCTGATTGTTTGGTTAGTAAATCAATCTGTCACAGCACTCCGACAGCCAAGTCTCACTTCACTCTAGACATGATGGCCAGAGCCCTCAGACTGGTGGGTTGAAATATTAGCATCCCCACCCACCTGCCCCATTCAGCCAAATTTGGGTGTTTAGGAAATAACACTGAAAATATAGAATTCGTAAGATTCACAAAGCACTGGTTTTACAAAAATTCGAGAAACTTATTCTTCCAATAGGATGCACATTCACAATTTATCATTCACTTGCTTTTCCATTGAATTGACCTTTTCAAGTACTGTGCTAGAAGACAGCAGGCAAATAGTTAAAAACTCTCGCCTTTGTGAGGTTTTATTATATAGCAGATGGCCAGCGCTTGCTAGCCAGCATCCGCATTAAAAAAGTAAGCAAAAATTCGCTATGAGGGTTTAAACCTCTCTATGCCCCCACCTGCCATACAAAAGGTGGGTAGCATATCTCCTAAATGTTTAAATCTAGAGATTGGGTAACCATTGCTGCACAGTCGCTAGAAAGGCTCTATTATTGGATGGGACTTGTAAAGTAATAGAGGGGGACATACACTGATCATCCACAACATTAAAATCGTTGACAGGTGAAGTGAATAACTTATTATATTGTTATAATGGCACCTGTCAAAGGGTGGAATATATTAGGTTGCAAGTGAGCAGTCAGTTCTTGAATTTCATGTGTTGGAAGCAGGAAAAATGGGCAAGCGAAAACAGTGACTTTGACCAGGGCCAAATAGTGATGGATTGATGACTGTGTCGCAGCATCTCCAAAACAGCAAGTTATGGAGATTTACTGGTATGCAGTGGTTACTACCTCTAACTACCAAAATTGGAACAAGGAATGACAACTGGTGAACCAACATCATAGTCATTGGAGCTCAAGGCTGATGAAGATTGAAGTCTAACCCATCAGGTCCAAGCACACAAAAGAGCTACTATAGCTCAAATCAATGAAACATGTAATACTGGCCTTGATAGAAATGTATCAGAACACACAGTGAACCTCAGATTGTTGCGTATGGGTCTGCGCAGTCATAGACCTGTTAGAGTGCTCATGATGACCCCTGTCCACCGCCAAAAGCACCTTCAAGGTAGATGTGAGTGTCTGAATTAGATCATAGAGCAATGGAAGAAGGTTGCCTGGTCTGATGAATTATGGGGGAGGTTTTTTTGCAGTTTTTTTAGAACAGGTGGATGGTTGAGTGCGTGTGAGTTATTTACCTGTGGAAGGAAGTAGGGAAGAGGGTAGACAGAGGCAGTGCTAATATCTGGTCAACTTTTTTGCTGGGAAACCTTGGAACCTGCTATTTATGTGGATGTAGACCATGTACACCTCTTCATGGCAATGGTGTTCCCCGATGGCAGTAGACTCTTTCAGCAGGATAATGCACCCTGCCGCACAGCAAAAAAGTTCAGGAATTGTTTAAATAACAAGGTGTTGGCTTGGCCCAGTGCTTGACAAATTTGCTTGGAATCTAGGAGCCAGCTAGAAGAGTTAGGAGTCAGAGAAATCAATGCCAAAAATAAAAATTTTAAAGGGACACTATAGTCACCAGAACCACTACAGCTTAATGTAGTTGTTATGAAGTCTATATCCTGTCCCTGAATGCTTTTCAGTGTAAACACTGACCTTTCAGACAAAAGGCAGTGTTTACATTGCTGCCTGGGGACACCTCTAGCGACAGTCACTCAGACAGCTTCTAGAGGTGCTTCCTGGGTCAGTGCTTCACACTGTGCAGCCCCTATGTTAATGTTTCCTAGAGGCATGCATTGATTCAATGCATCTCCATGAGAAGTTAAATTGGTACAGGGACATTTTGCTGTGCATGCGCAATTGTCTCCCAGTGCTTTCCTATGGGGAAGCATTGGATTGGCGGAGATCGTCAAGATTGATGATCTCAGCCATGGAGGTGGGGCCAGGTGAGTAAAAACACCTTTCCAATGTGATTGGAGGGAATGCACACTCTCTGACTGACACACACACACACACTCACAGATAGACACAGTTTTACAGACAGACACACACACTCACAGACACAGACAGACATAAAGACATAGACACAGACACACATACACACTCACAAACAGACACACTCACTCACAAATAATTACTTTTTTATTTTAATTTAGATCCACCCAGTCTCCACCCATACCTTTGGAGAGCTGGAGTTAATAGGCTTTCCGCGGGGTCCAGTGGGGCTGCTGTTATCTTCCTACTCAGCTCCATCTCGCACACTGTTTAGTGAGCAGGGGGTCAGAGTGATGTCATAGCCCTGCTCCTGGCATCATTGCAAGGCGCGAAAGGGAGCAGATAGCTCCTCCCTCACTGCCGCACTAAGTCAGCAACCTGCCTCACTCCCTCAGTTCACCATGAGCCGCCCGCCTCCCTCAGCAATCCATGAGCCAGCTGCCCCCCCTTACTTAGCAATACATGAGCCGCCTGCCTGCCTCAGCCCTCCGTGAGCCGACTGTCCGCCTCTGCTCTCAGGCAGCCAGTCACCTTGGGGGCTGAACAGGCTCACATATCCCAGCTGGGATTTGTCTAGCCCAGGCTTGGCCTCCAAATTCTTCAGATCTCAATCTGATTGAGCATCTGTGGGATGTGCTGGAACAACAAAGCAAACCCATGGAGGTCCCACCCCGCAACATGCATGATTTAATAGATTGGTTTCTAATGTCTTGGTGCCACATACCACAGGACATTTTCACTGTCCAGCTCCCTGCCCCTTCCCATAAGCAGTGGGTTAGGTCTATTAAATATACACTGGGGGGCCATAGTATCCCACCCCAGACCCTAGAAAGGATTCGGATGGAGGCTTATTTAATACACCGGGGACGGGGTACCTGCTATTAATGTATCACAATTTGTTTTTATGAATGCACACACTATATAGTTAACTATATAACAAAATACAATCCATCACTTATATAATGTATTTTAAAAGACCTAACAATATAGTTCTGCTTTGTAAACTTTGTTAAATCGGACTATGTTGCATTAAATGTAATTATTAAAATATATTTCTTAATCTCTTTAGACACTGAAAGGATTATAAATATGTTTTGGGTGAGTGTGCCATCTCAATTCTGTGTGGGTATATGAGCAATATTAGACTCAACCCATTTAGGAATACTGTGTTATTGTTTTAGATGATACTAATAAGGATTGAGGACCAGTAAGGTGCTTTGCACTGTCTGGTGGTCTGGCTGTAAGAAGTTTATAGTTTGTTAATGGCTATGCATGGGGCCATACTGCTGAGATCCTCACTGCAGGCTGTGTAATTGCTCCCCTATGGCAGAAGCTGGGTTAAACACGTTGAGGATAGATGACAGGGGCTGTGTGATCCAGAGATGGGCACAATATATTCACAGAAGGAAGGAATGGATTGGGAGGGGAGATATGTTAGAGGAGGGGGTGGAGAGCCTGGGCTGTGGAAGGGACAAGGAAGGAAAGTCAGAGGGAAGAGCTGGGGGTGGAGGAGAAGACTCACACACTGGGCTCTCACCATTCACTCCCTGACACCCTGCTCACAGTTCACTCAATGCGCCCCCTGGAGCCCACCTCATTCATTAGACACAAGAGCGAGCAATGACAGACGCGTTCTCATCCAGCTGCAGCGAGGGGATCATCATTTTGGATCCCTAGGTGGGCTGGCACGATATTACTGGTCCTGCCTGCCCTGTACTTACTGGACTTTTACTTTATTAGCAGACAGAGGGCTGGCATTGCAGGAGATGTTCTGCTCACCCTTTACCAGCCAGAGGATGACTGTCCTGACTACAAACGTCCTGCACTAGTTCTGCCATCCGGAGACCAGCTGCCCTGACATTACAGGTAATGTTTTACCCCCTGTTATCTATCCTGTCATTACAGATAATGTTACCCCTTGTTATCTATCCTGCCATTACAGATAATGTTACCCCTTGTTATCTACCCTGCCCTGCCATTACAGATAATGTTTTACCCCCTGCTATCTACTCTTACCTGACATTACAAGTAATGTTACCCCCTGTTATCTACCCTGCACTGACATAACAGGTAATGTTTTCCCCCTGCTATCTACCCTGCCCTGCCATTACAGGTAATGTTTTACCCCCTGTTATCTACCCTGCCCTGCCATTATAGGTAATTCTACCCCCTGCTTCCTACACTGCCCTGACATTACTGGTAATGTTAACCTTTGCTATCTATTCTTCTCTGACATTACAAGTAATGTTACCCCCTGTTATCTACCTTGCCCTGCCATTATAGGTAATGTTACCCCCTGTTACCTACCCTGCCCTGACATTACAGGTAATGTTAACCTCTGCTATCTACTCTGCACTGACATTACAGGTAATGTTATACCCCCTGCGATCTACTCTTCCCTGACATTACAAGTAATATTACCCCCTGTTATCTACCCTGCCCTGCCATTATAGGTAATGTCACCCCCTGCTGTCTAGCCTGCCCTGACCTTACTGGTAATGTTAACCTCTGCTATCTACCCTGCACTGACTTTACAGGTAATGTTTTACCCCCTGCTATCTACCCTTCCCTGACATTACAAGTAATGTTACCCCCTGTTATCTACCCTGCCTTACCATTGTAGGTAATGTTACCCCTTGCTATCTACCCTGCCCTGACATTACAAGTTGTGTTTTACCCCCTCATATCTACCCTACACAGACATTACAGGTAATGTTACTCCCTACTATCTACCTGCCCTGACATTACAGGCTATGTTATCCACTGCCTTCTACCCTGTCCTGACATTACAAATAATGTTACCCCCACTATCTACATTGCCCTGACATTACAGGTCATTTTAACCCCTGCTATCTATCCTGCCCTGACATTATAGGTGATGTTATCCCCTGCTATCTGCCCTTCCCTGACATTACATGTTTTGTAAACCCATGCTATCTACACTATCCTGACATTCTAAGTATTGTTATTCCCTGCTATCTACCCTGCCCTGACATTACAGGTAATTCTACCCCCTTCACTCTACTCTGCCCTGACATTACAGGTATTGTTAACCCATGCTATCTACCCTACCCTGTCATTCTAAGTATTGTTACCCCCTTCACTGACCTTGCAGATATTTTTACCTCCTGCGATCTATCCTGTCCTGACATTACAGGTATTTCTACACTCCAGCTGATTTACCTGCCCTGACATTCGTTCTTATGATTGTTTATTTGCTTGTTGTGGTCACTGTTGCGCTGTATTTACAAATAATGTTCTCACATTATTCACCCATTGCTAGTGTCTCATGTTTCCCTTGCTAGTCACCCCTTAATGATACAGCTTCTCTTCTCTTACTGGCCAAGCCTGTATACAGTGGTCCAATTAATAGCCCTAAGGCAAAGCATATTCCCTGGTTGAAGGAAATACAACAAACATCAGATCTACTCTTTAAGTTTACTTCAGAAACTCCAAACCCACAGCATGTTCTGAATAAGGCATGATGCTGTTTATTTACTTATTTATTTTATCATGTTTTCATGTTAACTCTTTTGGTAAAAATAACACTCCAAATCACATACGAGTAATATTGTTGTTTTTTTTACTTTATATATAATTTGTGTAGTGTGTATTTGGACACAAGTAACCAAATCTATAAAGAATGAGTTTATTGTACAGTCAGGGAAAAGGGAAGGTTGCTCAATACTCTTGCTTTGTACAACAGTGGCAATGACTCACTTATTTGTTGGAGGAAAAACCCCACAGCGGTATTCACAAAAGTGTGAATTGCCAGGAATTACAAGTGAATTTTAATTTAGGCCAATATAGCTGAATTATAAGGTATTCTACACGTTAGCTACGGTTACAGTTTGGCTGTTTTGCCCTAAATCTTGAAATCCACTTTAAGTTAATTTTAGGCTTTATTCGTAAACACCAAATTGCAATTAATTAATTAACCAAATTGTAAAATGTAGGCAAAATGTTCTGATCTAGAATAAATCGTCAACTCAGCTGTAGCCTTAGCACGGCTAATTTAACCCACATTTTGCAATACTGGTTTCAGTTTATTGCAATTCACTGTTAAGTAAATTTACCCGTTTTGACCATTTTTACATTCGCGAAAAATCCTGTAATTCTTTTCACATAATAACAAACATAAATAAAGGGCTTGGGTGGCTGATAATCAGTTTGAAAGCATACAGAAAAGAAGGTCCAGACAGTAAGAATCACTATGTCAAAGACTTATAAGATATATAGTGGTGTAACTATGCAGGGTACACTTATTATATTACATTCATTCTACAATCTGCACTACATGATGCATTATTTAAATCATCTTTAGCTTAAGGCAAAGTTTTTCTCCCCTGTATTACAGGAAAATCACTTACTTGTTTAAAGTTAACCTTATGCTTATTAAACCGTGCAAGTAAGAAATATATAATAAAATAGCCTGTGGTAGAGTGAAGGGTACCTTAGAAGCAGTTTGTTATATTGATTGTATATCTTGCCTTTGCTTGCATCTTCTACATATGTTGTCATCTAAATCTTAACTCTTTGAGTGACACAGGGTGTTCTCTGTAATGTGCTCTCTGTAAGAACACTGAAAGGGTTAATTACAGCAAGCCCTTATGAACGTCATATTTTATGGGTCAATATAGGAAAATTTGTATTCAGCAGTATGGAGAAATTAAAGTAATTAATCTAGGAGGGATTATATGCCTCGAGGAAAGTAACATAGTATAACATATAAGCAATATAAAGTCATATATGGAGCATTTACAGTGATATCGTTAATGTCACATCAATACCCACTACATCTACATGTTTAAATGGGACATGGTATCTACATTTATTTGTTTTTCACTGTCATCAATCATTGAACTGCAATGTGTTAATAGTTTGTGTCAGCACACCCATGTTTGGCATATTTTTGAAATCTCTTTCAATAATGGTTTATCTGCTAGTCATGCACACCATCTTGATTACATGAACATCTTGCAATTTGTAGTCCTCCGCAGCTGGAGTTCCAAAGGTTAGCTATCTCGGATCAGAACATAACAATGGAATGTGCACCCTCTATGAGACAAGCATCTGTTGTTAAATTAAACTGCGATACAGTTTAAGACAAGTAAAGATGAGAAACATCTCTAAAAATTAGCATAGAAGATAATGTGATACTGAGTATAATTACACACTTTAAACCCTATAATTAGCATTACTTATTATAGGGTAAGGACTGAAGTGTATTATTGCCATATCACTTGCAAAATCATTTTCTTTAGAACTGGCCAGCTCTTTATTCTTAAGCTTTTAAAAGAATGGTAGCTTTTTAAGTGTAGTAGTTAAAATATTATATTTTTAACGGTGCAGATGCCTTTATATCAAACCCCCCCTCCCCCTTCCTTCACTCCCCATTGAAAATGGAGAGTCTGAATATCAGATTCCCCCCAAATATTCCTATCTGTGTGTTGTTATTAAAGTACCATGCCACTGGTAATGCAATATGAGACAGGCATAGAATGGCACAATATATCTCATAACTCAATGGAGCTTTTAGTCACTTACCTCCCTCCTAGCCCTGTCCTTACTCAGTTTCCTTGTCTAAAATATCACCTTTGCTACCTATCACTGCACACTTTGCCTGTATTATAATATTCCTTCTTCTTCTCTCCCTCATCCTCCTCTTCGTCTATGTCAGCCTTATTTAACCTATATTCCCCTTACGTGAATCCTCTGCTATCCTTCCTCTCTCTATTTTCTCTATGCCAGTTCATTTGTCTTCCCTACATTTCCCTTCATTTGTACCTGTCTTCTTTCCCCTTTCAGAAGGCAGTCTCCCATATGCTTCCCTTTCTCTATGCCTTACATCTCCATGTATGCCAAACGCCACTGGCTCCTTTCTCCTTTCCTTGCTTATGCTATGAGTACCCCTGCCTTGCACTCGTTTTATGTCTGTATCCCAGAGTCTGAACCTATTGATCTTCTTTATTTGGCACATCTCTTTCCATAGGCTGTTGTCGGTGCTGCCTGAGACCTTTAGATGAGATAACGGCTGGCAGTGGCAACAGCCATAGCAGTGATTTCTGCCCAAGCTTTGAACTGCTCTGATCAACTTGATAAGTTTGTGAGAATAGGTTTTCTGTAAATTCAGTTTTTGCCAAGAGACTCCAAGCTTTCATAGGCTGTCTTAAGTCAAGTCTACAACCAATTAGATTGGATTGGGACTGGGCTCATGAGTACAACATGGGGACAAATTACTGGATCCATGTTGCCAGAGAAGTTCCCGCAAGTTAAACAAATCAAAAAGCCTTCTGTGACTGATCCTGTCCCAAACTGATTAACTCACAAAAAAATCCTTACTTTCAGAAGAATGTGTGATATTGCTAACAGTTTGGTCAGGAGTGATGATAGATTGGGGAACAAGCCAAAAGAAAACAGATGTAATGTGACAGTAGACTAGACCAGGGGTTTAGAACTGCGATGAACTCCTAGCTGTTCTTGGGCTACAACTCAAATAGAATTATGGAAATTGTAGATCACAAATATTTGATGGATAGTACACTGGTTATACTTGAATCAAAGAAAGAGATAGAGTTTGTTAATAGTCTTTGTAGAGAGAGGTGGTATGGTGATCCTGAAGGTTGTTTTGAAGAGGGATGCTGGAAGGAAGAGAAAATGGGAAATGGGAAGAAGAATATCACAGCGATAGATGTAAGTGGAGGAGAGCAGATAAAAAGAAAAGGGGGGATTACAGGCTGAG